ATGATAGAAACATAATTAATATAATACAATTGCTCGAAATTCTTTGTTTTTAATATATACGTAGAAAAGTTTTTATGTAATAATAAAACTAGGTATGAAAATCAGACGCTAATAAGAGATTCGTAGTAGGTATTAGATGTTCAAAAAGAAGAATAAAAAGAGAACGTGGTAGATGTTGGCGAAAGAAGGCGGATTTCGATAGTCAACAAACTTAGCCAAAACGCGACATTTGTTTTGTTCGATCGCACTTTCGAATGCATTCCGTGTTTGAAACAAAACAGATATATACGCAGAAAAGAGAGAAGTGTGTGCGAGAAGACAGGAAAAACAGATATAAAAGACTCGGAGAGAATCGTACAAGGCACGATCACGTTCACGAAGAGCGCAAACTTCTTCTCGCAAGAGTCGCACGGCAAAATATATTGTTACTCCTGATTCGACGAGATGTTAAAGAGCAACGAGACGCAGTTGCGCATTTCTCGCGCGAGTGCGCCAAATTCTCGCTACGCCCCTGATTTTCCACCCACTCATCCAGCGCGGCAGGGTCACCGTATGCACCCACACACGTGCGCACGCACGTACACGCACGTGCACGCACGTATAGTATGTACGCATAGGCACACACAGAGAGGTGCACGCATACACGCCGTTTTCTCCGTTCCTCTCTTTCTCGCGCTTGCTCCGTCGCAACACATCCTCGCGCTCCGCGGTCGCGCGCATTGTACACATCGCACACGAGCAAACAAACACACGTAGTACGTGTGCACGCAGAGATATTGTACGTGCTGACGCATACGCACAACGTAACGGCGAGCGCGGCGCGCTATGGCGACGGCGACGGCGACGGCGGTGGCGGTGGTCGTGCATCCAGGCGGAGCGGAATATAGGCAGACGGACCGGTGTGCCAGGGCGAAGGCGAGCGGACGCAGCGATGACCGGCGATGACTATACGACAGTATACGATCGATTATTCCAATCGATTATTAATAAGAACCGGCGGGGTGAGGAGGGCGGGGAAAAAAGGAGATCGATCTCGCGCGGGAGCTGGACCTCGTCCG